CCAGTGCAGTGTTCCTTAACCTCTCTATTCAGGTGTGTTGGGTGCAGCTCTCATCACCCCATGCTCCCTTACAAGTGCAAACCAATGCATGTTTTCTCAGGAGCAAAGTTCACTGAACTCAGTGGGGCCTGCTTCCAGGTAGTGTCTACAGTAATTCATCTCCCTGGCCAGTATGGTTGATGGCAAGGGATCATGGGAGTTGTAGCTCAAAGATAGAGGTGTGCCATTTGTTTTGTTTGCTTCCCCCCCCCTTGGAATTCTGGGAACTCCAGTCCACAAAAACACACCTGCAGACGTCTTCATTTCACTCACCTGAACAAGCCTTCTTCTAGGACTTTGTTTTCTGCTGCAATGCTTCCTGGGAGGAAGCTGCACAATGTTTCCATGGGAGCAAGTCTCCGTGATAGGCAATGAATCATGAAGGGCATCATGAAGGGCCACGAGACTTCGATCCCCAAGAAGCATTGCTGAAGCCTCCTCCCAAGGAGTATCATAGCAGGAAGTGAAGGCCTAGGGGGAGGACTCAGTCTTGTCAAGGTGAGTGAAATGAAATTGTCGGCAGGTCTGTGCTTGTTAGTTGGAACTCCCAGAATTGTCTTGTAAATTCTGGGAGTTGGAGTACAAAAAACCAAATGTCACACCTTTACACAAAATGTTTGAAGGGTTCACATTCTCCCACCCCGTGTTTAGACAAAATTCAAGTTCCACTCTGTGTGTGGACACAATGATTTTCATTACAACTAAGTCAGTAAACCTGATAATAGGGAGATGCAGAAATTGAGAAATGCAGAGTCAGAATCACCTTGAGGTTAGATCCTCAGACCTGTTGCTGTTAGGCTAAGAATATATTTTATCTGAGATAGTTTTACCTTGTTCTTTTCCCAGACAGACTTCCAAAACAGCTTACAAATATCAGAAATAGCACAGCTATGCTAATAGTCTTATGATTAGAAAAACACACAACACAAAAGGAAAAGGGGATAGGGAAAACAAACTCAGGCACTTGAAGTCAAAAAACAGAGGCTACAACTTTGATGGGTTATACAAAGCTTTGATGGGTTTAGAATTACACAATTTGGGAGATAACCCTTCAGGAGCTTTTAGCAACCATAACTAAATGGAATCTCCATGAACAGTGGCTGGGAGAAAGAAGAACAAGATCATTCTTTCTGTGCCCCCACTGAAAGGCATCTGGCTGGTCACTATTGGAAGGGGGAGGCTGGACCAGATGAGCCCTTGCTCTGATCAAGGAGGGGGGTCTTCTCTGGTTCTGGCGAGTACAGGTATATTAGGCTATGCCTGCCAGTATTACTCACCGCAACTGTCAGTGATCTGAGAAAGCTGAATTGGGGCATCTAAGAGCAGCTGCCTGTTGGCCTGCGCATTTTCGCTGTCCCTGCCAGGAAGAAAAAAAGAGAATTAATTAAAGACCCCCACCTGGAAATGGTGTCTCCTACCCAGTCGTCATAAATCCCTCTCCTATTTCAAATAAAGGTATCATCATGACAACAACCTTATAGGCTCCCGTCCTGCCTTGCAACCCAGGTAAACAAAGGAGAAAGCTTAAACAAGTGTGTGGACAATGTAGAAGAGTAATTTTTGTGGCCCCAAATTATTGGCCGTGCTGAGTGGTGGACAAAAGATACAGTGCAGAAACCACAGTCTGCGAGGGCTCAAGTGTTTCTATGGGGCGACTGGGCTTCCGAAATCCCACCAGCATAAAGATCCTTAAGAGAATCTGAAAACCCATCACGGCATCAAAATGTTATAATCTCGCCACTGGGTCAAATCCTTTGTGCTCGTCCTTGGAAGGAGGCACCCAAGGCCAACATCAGCAGAACGAAACTTACAAGTGAAGGGTGTTGTACATCCGCTGGCAGATCGCGCGGATGTCCTCATCGTCTTTGGAGTCTCTGGACACATCCTGCAGGAGTTCCCCGACTGCTTCAAACAGATCGTCCACTGACTCGAAGTCCGAGCTGCCACTGTGCAGGACTCCTACCAAGGAAATGCATGACATGCTTTCAAAGCCAAACAAGACCAACCAGGCTGCTAGTCAGCAACATCTTCAGAAGTGCAAGAAGATTCAAAACTGCCTGTTCAAATGACCTGCTGCGAAATCTCCTTGCCATCAGTCCTGGTCACACTCCCTTGTGCTTTTTCTGATACTGTCAATGTGGAGTGAAACGAGATGTCCAGGGGCCTTCATCTACTGACTCTTATAGCCTAAGGCAACTGTAGTACTCTAGATTTTTCATGCCTTAGAACTCCCATCACTCCTGTCCAAGATATGCAATGGTAAAGAATTCTGGGAGCAGCAGTACAAAAAGCTCTCAACAGTCACAGCTGACCAAGGCTAATGCAATTAAATTCTCCAAAATGGTGCCCATGTTCCAGCATGTAAGTAGAAACCAGCACCGGTCCTATACCACCAAGCAGTAAATGCTGCCCAACTGTTAAAAGATTGTGATCAAATCACAGTTAATCTCTACATTTGAGTTGTTGGGTTTGTTTTTTTTAAATACAGGAACACATCGCCACTCTGCCATCCAAATCTCTGTCTGTAGAAAAGGAGTTTTCTTGCCCATCTTAGAAGTAATACAGCAAATATTTTTACCAGAAAAGAAATGAGTCTGGAAAGAGACAAGAAAGACAGAGGACAACTGTGAGGAAATACCCGAGACAAAAGGTGAACCTCAAGTTCATCTCCAAGATATTTAATTCATAGAATGGAAAAATGCCTAGCATATTTCAACAAATATGGTACAAATCTGCATAAAATGTACAATATTTTTTTTAAACAGCACAAATCTTTAAAAGCTATAAAGGTTTACTAAAAATGTTGAGCATATTACATCTTCGCAATAACTCTTTTGAGAAATAAGCACATATCATGTGGATGAACACATTTTGATCTCCTGAGGCAGATGTACCGCTTGCTGCTCACCTTCATACCTTGCAGTTCTAATTCTCAAAGGCATGGAAGCTGGTTGATTCAAGTTCTCCTATTCAGTAGGGATTTCAGGTTTTTATTCAGTACAAGTAAAATTTCACTTGGACAAGTTTCAGGGGAACAAACCTTAAACCTCACCTACATCTAGGTATCTTTTCTATGTCATTTTTAAGCACCCAAAATAAGTATGGTGGGAACTCTATCTTAAAAGTTTCCACCCTCTTTCCCTGCAAAACAATGCAGCAGCTTGTTCCATTACAGCGAGAGATAGGACGAACAGCCAAAAGAATGTGTGGATTATTTGAATGGCAAGCTAAAAAGGGAATTATCAGAGATATTGACATCAAGGGGACTATATTACATACTACTCAAGTAAAGACTTCTATGCATTTACTCTTACTATCCAGGTGGTTAAACAATGTGAGCATTTTCCCCTCTTGCTTTCATAGTGCGGATCTAGGTTGCAACACTGACCATGAAAACTAAACTAAGGAGTTTCCAAAGAACTGAGAAGTGGTTATTTTTTGCCAAGTAAAAGAAACATAGTCTTGATAAGAGGGCTCAGCTTTCTGTGATGTATTCTTCCCTAGTGCACACACCACGTCTGTTTGAAAAACAGACTCCTTTCTAGGCCTTAGGTGATCAGAGCCTGCAAGAGTTTTCCAGCAGAAAGCCCCTGGAAGTAAGGAAGAAAGCAAGAAAGTGGGAAAGAAACAGCAGCCCCATTTGTCATTTGGTAACTTGGAAGTACTAGCCGACAGAGGAAGAGATCGAAGACTCTGGGGACAAGGCAATTTGCCAGGGCTTTGCATATTTGTCTTGAAATAAATCCAGCTGAATTCAGGGGAATTTAAAAACATTTAGGACTGAGGTACAAATCACATGAATACAACACTATGTAAGATGCTCAGCTGAGAATCATGAGACAAGCAACTCCTAAGAACAATTTCATACAGTACAATCTGTTAAGTACTTGTGTGCCATGTTAGATACAAAGTGCATACAAGCATATTCTTTTCCATACTTGTTGCTTTAAAATACACAGATGACTGTTTCCACGTCATCACTCAGATTCTGCTGAAAGGCCAAGAGTTTTAAAAAAAACATGAGCATGCACTTCCTTAAATATATATATATACATACATACAAAACCTCTTTAGAAACAATGAGAAATCATACACACAGTCCATGAAGGGGCTTCATAACTGACAGTCTGAGATTACAGCCTCTGTCTGTCACAGAACATGAACGGTAGGAGAAATGGATCTGTCATCTGGCCCATGAGTCTCTCTACCGTTTGCCATGGAACACAATCAATATTTTTGTTCCGCACTAAAGTCTTGTATAGACTGGAAGGAAGCACAGGTAGTACACACTCAAAATACATGCTTGTGGTTAGGAACAACTTGTTAAGCAGGACGCCAATTAAGTGCTTAATGAACCATGGGTTAAAAATGCATATGCTTTTTTTCTTCTACTGAAGGATTTCACTTACGAAGGGCACAGCTGCCAGGAACGAGCATTTGCCCTTCCAGTTCCTGAACTTGAAAGTCCCAGATGTCCTTGGACGACAACATCCCAAATCATGATCCAAGAACATCTGGGGGCCCCAAATGCAGAAACCTCTAAAAGACAATGTTTTGAGGAAATGTTTGCCCAGCTTAGGCCGGTTTCTTGTACATCCAAAGGCAGTATCCAATTTCTAACAGTAGATCTATCAAATCCAACTGATGAATGGCGCGTCAATGCTAATTGTGTAAATATCGTACTGAGTCCACGGAACTAGCCACAGGATAGTGGCCTATTCAGAGCCCGTGATTTCCATTAGAGATGACTCTCCAAACATCACTCCCCTGAACTTATTAAAATATTCTAAACTTGAAGCAAGCGCTGGCATTTTAAGCAAAGCGGCCGGCAGGCTTATAGGTCCTAACTTGAATCATTATCTGCCACAGCAATAGCGTGCCTATAAATCTGTCTTTTCTGGTGCTCTCACCTTGAAAAAGTCCTGCTGGACTCAATGGGCAAGAAGGACGAATTAAGCAGGATCTCTGACTTTTGATCTCCCTATTTCGAGGCCATGGGCGGGTCATTTCCCACCTTGCATCCCTTTCTCATTATGTGTGAGGAACTCGCCTGGTCCATGAAAGCTCACATGGACACGTGGAGAGAGAGAGAGAGAGAGAGCGAGCTCTCACATGGACACGTGTACAGATTTGTGTGTGCGTGTGTACGCATACATATACGTGACTCTTTAAGGGCTTGTCTTTTTTAAGAGTGTTCTCACATGGACACGTGTACAGATTCGTGTGTACGCATACATACACGTGACTCTTTAAGGGCTTGTCTTTTTTAAAATTTGTTTCTTTTATTTCTATCCTTTTTTATATTTTTGTTTTTACCTTCCTTTTCTCCGGGGGCCCCCCGGGGGGGGGGAAGGGGCCCCCGAGAGGACCCTAGGAAGCGAGGGACAAAGGAAGGAGTGGGGGGAGACAGAAAGAGAAAAGGAAAATCTGTTGGGCTTTCTTTAAAAAGAAAGCAAAAGGGGTAAAAAAAAAACCACACACACAACCCCCCTCTGGCCTGAAAGGCTTATTTAAAAGTGGGAAGGAGATTTTACTTCAGAGCCTGAGAGACCGCCGCTTCGTCGGGCCGGCCCCGAGGGATGGGGAGGGAAAGAAGGGGAGACGGGAGGGGGCTTCCAGACGGCTTTGCCGTCTCCCCCCCCCCCCCCGACGGCTTTGCCGTCCCCCCCCTCCCGGGTCTCTCGCCGCTTCAGCCCCGCCACCACGCCGGGGCAGGTTCGAGCCTCCCGGGAGGAGGAAGGGAAGGGAAGCCTCTCGCCCGGCCTTGCCCGGCCCTCGACCCTCGTCCCAACTCCTCAGCCTCACCGGTCACGTAATCGAACATCTCCCCGTCGAGTTCCGGGAACTCCCTCCGCAGGATGTCCGCGCAGGAGGCCGCCATCGCCGCCCGGCCGCTGGGCCTCTCTGGTGGGCCGCCGCCAATCGAACCTCCCCCCGTCGAGTTCCGGGAACTCCCTCCGCAGGATGTCCGCGCAGGAGGCCGCCATCGCCGCCCGGCCGCTGGGCCTTTCTGGTGGGCCCCGCCGCCGCTGCCCGGCCTGCCCCTCACGACGACGCCCCCCGCGCGGGGCTTGCTGGGAAACGTAGTCCGCGGCTGAAGGAGGACACGACGACGGCCACAACAAGGGCCTCCCCCAAGGGTGCCTTCGCTCGGGCGCAAAGGACGCCGGGAAGGAGCAGGGAGGGTTCCCTCGCGCAGGCGCGAAATGGCGCCCGTGAGGGGAGCGGGAGCGGGAAAAAGGAGAGGGTTTTGTGTGGAGGCGGGTGGAATGAAAGGCTTCAAACTGGCGTTTGGCAGTTTTGCTTATAATAAATGATCGTATGGAGAGTTGGCCTCCATGGTGGTTAAAGAGCAGGTGGCGTGGAGCCTCCATGGTTCAAGGCAGTGTATCTCTCCCTCAGACTCCTCATGGGATACAGTGTTTTGTCCTTTGTCCCGCCACCCCCACTTTTGGGGGGCCAACAAGCTGAAATACAGCGAGGTCTACTGACCAACAATTTAAAAAAAACTACAGTACAGTGGTTCCCAACCTAGGGTCACCTCAGTGTTCCTGGACTGCAACTCCCAGAGACCAAGGCCAGCAGAGCTAGTAGTGAAGCCTTCTGGGAATTGTAGTCTTAAGAACACCTGGGTGACACCCCAGGTTGGCCACTATGTCGTGCTTATTCAGTTTAAGCCACTAGATGGCAGCACTCGGCTTTACTAAGTAAATTACCGGTACTAATTGCTGTGTGCTTGTGGACTTTTTTCAAAGAAGTTTGAAAACAATATGTTACGAAGGAGGTGTATTTTTATTGTCTTTATATTGTATTGTTATGTATTTTTCTGTTGCAGAAACGTTGGTATGGTAATTGTCTATTTTAATATTTTGGGGTAGAAAACAAAGGGAATGAATGTTTTGGCTCTGAAAATCAACACTAGGAGCTACGCACAGTTTTGGTTAGAAGTGTAGCTGCGAGTACCTTTGAGCCTTTAATTGAATCAATCCTTAGAACTTGGTACACTTATTAAAATAGACTGCCTTTAAATGCCACTTTAGTCCTTTTTAAGGAGAAGGTTGGAATATAAATATTTTCTCAAGCCGAAACATGCCACGTTTCTTTCACTCTTTCCTCATTGGGGTTGGTTAAAAAAATACTTTAAATAAACAATCAATTAGTACCTATCTCAATGGATTAAAATATTACCCAAGAGTTCTTAAGACATTACCAAATGTAAAATCCAGCACAAAGCTATGCCAGGATGATAATAATTTCCACACCTCTGGCAAGGAAGAGTTCAGATTCAGCACAGCTGGAAGGAGCTCACTGTCTGCTTCCCTGGCCTACAGCCATTATCTTGGTTGTTTAGAATTGTCTCTTGACTTAAAAGAGTTTCAGTGGGTCCATGGTATAGTAGGACCCTCCATATCTGCTGTGAATTGGTTCCAAGCCCCCCACAGATACTGAAAACCATGGATAATAGCAATCTCTCTCCCTCCCTCCCTCTCTCATGCTATATATAGCATGGTAAAAGGGAGGGGAAAAAACAGGAAAAATTGTTTTCACATGCAGTTCTGGACCCCACAGTTCAAGAAGGATGCTGACAAATTGGAACAAGTTCAGAGGAGGGCAGCAAGGATAATTAGAAGGCTGGAAACCAAACCTTAACAGGAAAGACTGAAAGAACTGGGCATGTTTATTCTGGAAACCAAACCTTAGCAGGAAAGACTGAAAGAACTGGGCATGTTTAGCCTTGATAAAAGAAGGCTGAGCGGAGGCAGGATAGTACTTTTTAAAAATTGAAAGACTGATACGGAGAGGAGGGGCAGGATCTGTTCTCGATCATCCCAGAGTGCAGGACATGCAACAAGAACAGTGTGCACCTAAAGCAGAAAGGAAATGAATCAGTTACAGCAGAGTAGACACCAAAGCCAGTTTAAATCACCAGAAATGAATCGATGCCCATTCAGTGCATTGTGAACACAGCCACCGGTTTAAATACCACATGACTTGAAAATGCCTATTCAGTGCATTGTGAACACAGTTCACATGACTTGAACCTGATTTTTTAAAAGTCCAAACAGAAATGGATTCAAATTGCCAGTGTGACCACAGCCTTAGTATAGTAGGTTGCCCACTGACTCCGTGGGAATTTGGTGAGTCAACCCTTCCGTAAGTTTCATTGATTACAATGGCACCCACTCTAGCTCTGACTGGGCAGGACTTTAGCCATTTTATCTTTACTGGCAGAGAGAGAAAGAGGAAGAAGTATTTGTGGAATTGTCTGTCTCTGGTGGCAGAAATAACTTGGTTGGCCTTGGTACTGTGCAGTTTCGTGGGAGAAAGAGGGCCAATTTGTTAATCTTCCTAAAATGGCAGAATGCATTCTGCAGTCCTGCTTACAATAAGTCTTTAAAATAGAAGCAGCCAAAACCGTTTATCGAGATGCTACGAATAAGACTCAGGTGTTTTGTATGAGAAGGTGTGAATAGAACCATCGGGTTGGAGAATGTAGCATTGTTCCCTTGTTGAAGACAGAACACTGATTCATATGGTTTATGCTCAAGTCTCTGCAGTGGTGAAATTTATGTATTTTTTAAAAGTTATTTTATTTCACTTTGTCATTCAGAAATAGAAATCACTCAGAACAGCTTACAAAGCATAAAAACAATAACAAATCACTAGAATAAATTAACCAGCTAAAGGCTGCGGCACATACACACAAAGCCTAACAGATAATAAATAAAACTTAAAGAAAGTAGGAAAGTCAGATGCTTGCTCCCAGAGAAATCTTCACGCTTGCTGGTGAAGCATATATAAAGTGGAAGAGGTGTGTGTTCTAATCTCTTGAGGCTGGGGGTTCAGCAGATGGAGTACCAGTATCAAGAAGTCCTTTCCAGTATTGCCGTTAACTGTGTCTCTGAAGGTAACAATGCTATCCAAGAGGGTGTAGGACCTGAACTTAAAGGATGTACAATTTTCCATGTTCAGTTTCCAAGGTAACAATTGCATTGTTGACACAAGGGACAAATTATGGAAACCAATGCAGGATTTGACATTTGGTAATAACTTAAGAACCCTTGATTGCTATTCAGTCCTGTTTACTGAGTTTCCAATGTCTGCATGTACCTTTATCTCAGTTGTTTCTCTTTCAAGTCTTGTTTTGTAGCTAGAGAACCATTGCCATTTTGTCCACGATCTGTATCCTCACCTGGTCATGGGGCCATGTATAAATATAAGCGCCGTGTCATCTCTTTCCTATGTCCGAGGAAGTGGGCATCATCCATGAAAGCTCTCATTTAAAATATAGCCACTCTTCTTTAAGGTGGCACAATATTTTTGCTTCTTAGGTTTGTCTGTATGTGTTTTCTTGTTGCTTTTTTGGTCTGATATGCTTGGACAGATCAATACACCGACTTCTTTAAAAACTGTAAATTTCTGTAGATTTTATGATGAGCCTCAACGGGGAATAGCACACAGCTTAAACGGATGGGGATGAAATGTCAACCCCATTGCGGGTTCTTGATTGAGTTCTTGGACTCCTTCCGGCAGCTGGAATCTGAAAGTCCTCACCAAGTTGGTAAAGAAAAGGAAGAGTTCCATCTTCGCCATCTGTTCCCCCAAACACATCCTAGCTCCTGCAGAGGAAAAATGCAGAAAACATCAAGTGAGGAAGGTTCCATGTTGGCTACTGTCCAGCCCAACATCGTTGGTCAACAACCAGTTTTGACCCTAAGAAAAGAATTTCAGTCGATGGCCTCATAGTCACTGGCCCTTGAATCCCATTCATCTGCTTCATAACCTTTCCTTCTGCCCCACTGGGGCTATTGCTGCCACAGTTGCCACCAACACTCAGTGCCAGCCTGTGTGGGCAATCGCCATTACCCTAGAACCCTGTGAGATCAGGAAGTAGAACATCTCAGAAGGTCCAGTCATGGAGCATTTTAGGAGTACTGTATTTAAGAAGGTATTTGAGGGGTTGTGTCATTCTCAGTAGCAGCTCTAATTTTGGCTGTGCAGCTATTGGCTGAGGTCAATTCAGCAGCTGTTTTAGCAGGAAAATAAAACCCAACCCATATGCCACACATCCATCTTCTCTCTTTTTCTCCCTCGGTTTCTCTCCCTTTTAAATCTCATTTAGAAAATAAGTGCTAGTCCATCTAAAGCACGGTGTATGTTTTTATTTCTGTCCTGAATTCCATATTTCTTTATTCCATGCTCTTTTTGCTTGCCTGTGTATAAGGATCTGGCATGGAAAGGGGCTCCTTTTTGCTATTATCCTTAAACTGAAAGTAGCATTTTTATACTTTCACGTAAAAGGCTGTTGAGGCTGTCTTAAAAGACAATGTCCTCTCAAGATGGGTTGTAAATATACTGCAATTGAAAAAAAGAACAACAACCCACTAACTATCACAGTTAAAATATATCACAGGTAAAACAAGAAAGGAAAAAAGGAATTTACCTTTAAAGTATTATTTAACCCTGTTAATGAATAATAACCAAAATATGAAAATAGCTGGTGATAGCTCAAAATGGGATTTTTGGAATTTCTGGATTATAAATACCACAATTCTTCATTCTGAGAGTTCTACCTACATTACAGGCACCTTACAGATATAGTAGGACCTTCATATCTATGGATCAGTATCCGTAGATTCACTTATCTATGGTCAAAAAATATAAAAAGAAAAATTGTGGACATATATATTCCTAAAGGTGATGTTACCAGAACTGACCACTAGAGGCAGCCAGAGACCATGGTATGTATAGCATTCCATTGAGAAATATACGTATTTCCATAGTGGCCTTTCCAGAGTTGGGCAACTGAAGTACAGTGGACCCTTGACTTACAGACGGCTTGACTTACAGACTTTTTGAGTTACAGACTACTGTGGCCGCAAAATTTAGGTTTGACTTGCAGACTGAGATTTAACTTACAGACCAGAAAAAAACCAAAATGGAACAAAAACGGCCTGTTACGGGATTAATCGGTTTTCAATGCACTGTAGGTCAATGGAGACTTGACTTACAGACTTTTTGACTTGAGAACCGCCTTCCAATACGGATTAAGCTCTCAAGTCAAGACCCCACTGTAAGACAGAGATCATGCTATGTTTGCTAGCATCCATGGGGGTGGGGGCTTGGAACCAATCCCCGGTGGATATGGGGATCGTACCGCACCTGAATGCAATGCACCTGGGAGAAAGGTCTAAGTTCCAGCTGTGGGCCAAGCTCCACCTAAGCTTCCTCCCCGGAAAGAAACCTAGCGCTCAGGAAGGAAGCTTGGCCTAACTGAACCTCAAAGCCACCTGACTTGGACCTTCCTCCCAGGTGCCTTGCATTCAGATATTTGTCAGGTGCCTGCAAGATAGAATTCCCAGAATGGAGAATTTTGGCGTTTGTAGTCCAGAAAATCCAAAAATCCTATTGCTACCTATGGCATTCTCAACGAGAAAAAAAGGATCACCAATAAAGATAAATCAATTGACAATCCCACACCCTGAAAGGGAGGTGACTCCAGAGACATGGGGCCACCACTGAAGAGGCCTGGCCTCTTAAGACCTAAAGATACACTGAGATCTTTAACTGGTTCTTGAGCGATTTTTAAAGGGTGAAATGTAGCCATCAACGGGCCTTGGGTGTTAGGGAACGGGGGATTTAACTTCTTCTGCTATTTCCCCAAACAGAATGGGTCTTCTGGATATACTGTACCGTTTGTTCTATTAGATAGAAAGCAACCCGAGATGGATGGGATAATTCATGTTCGGAACATGCCACGGAGGGAAAAGGTTAAACCCCTACAGCACCAGAATGCCACTCTGATTTAATGTTTTTACAGACCACTAGGGATCCCTTGACAGACTTGCCACCTTGATCTCTTTGAAATGAACTAGTAAAGGTGATGGTACCGTTTACCTGCTCCGAAGGGCAGAAATTCTTCTCTAGACATAAAATTTCCTTCTTTGTCCAGAAAGTGCTTTGGGTTGAACTCCCCAGGTGTCTCCCATTGCTTGGGATCAAGGAGAACAGAACACAGATCTGGGATAACAATGGTCCTCTGAAAGCAAGAAAGAGCTGACTCAAATTCCATCCATAGCAACAAATTGTCCAGCCGAAAGCTGTCATAAGCTAAATACCTAATTTTTAATCTCTGCCTTTCTCACATCGGCAGACTCTCATTGCACATAGACATTCCTAACCAAGTTAATAAAGTTTCCAAGACACATTTTTTTAAACCTACAAGGTGTGGTGTTGTCAGTAGTATTGTCTATTGTGCTAAAGAAAAATGATTCTGCGGTTATTCTGAAATTACCTCAATGCTTCCTAAAACCCACAAGGTGTGGTGCTGTCAGTAGTATTGTCTATTGTGCTGGAGACATTGCGAAGGTGCTAAAGAAAAATGATTCTGTGGTTATTCTGAAATTACCTCAATGCTTCCTTGGACAGAGAAAGCATATTACACAAGGCTTGATTTCGAAAACATGTTGCACAGTGCTTTATTTCAAACCTCCAGCCTTGATTTTGGTGTAGAACATATAGCTGTTTATGAAATCAAAAGAGGAAGGATCGTAAGAGGTAGGTGTCATAAGCACCTTGAACTTAGACCAGATGTGTGTGAGCCACCAGAAGAATTCTTTCAGAACTGGTGTCATATGGGATTTGAAAGATTTCAGTAGCTGCAGATTAGCTAGCTGCCCTTGCTTCAGCACCTACGTTGTCTTTAAGGACAGCCCCATGTCGACTGCATAGCAGTAGTCTAACTGGGAAAGTCACTTGTATAGTCAGGTTGGGGCTCCATGGAATGCTGTGTGACAAGGAACTATGATGTGAAGACTGGGGAGAAATTCATTGGGAACATTGCAGCCAGAGATAAGAGACCACTTTTTGAGACCTCAGCATCTGCTAACCAGGCTGGCTGGCATATTCTCAACCCTGTGGTCCAGGGTTATTTTTCCCCATTTCTGATCGCAACCTGGTGGCACCAATCAGGACTCAGTTAATGTATAGAACTAAGATGTCAACACATTCTATCGAAAGAGATATAACTTTTAATGCTCACAAATTGAAGGAAAGTGAATTGTCCTGCAAAGATTTGTTTAGATGCCAAATTTTCATTCCAAGCCACCAAGAAACTAGGTAGTTCAGTGGATTTGCTAGGCAAGTGGATTTGCTTGACTTCCAGATTTTTGTATATGGGTGGAAGCTTCTTGCCTTTCAGATTCCGTACACTATGGATGCTTCGTGTACCGAATCATCTCTTCAAGGGCCACCCATCGATGGCTTTTGCTCATGGGATACCAGAATGCAGGTACCCCCGTCTTCTGTACCTTGGGAATAGTGACACCATGCATGTTCACATCCTTTACACTCCGTCTGGGGATCCCAACGGGTAACATAAACTTTGCACGCAAGACCTCATGAATCACGGCATGGGTGAAGGGCAGCCTCTTTCTATCTTCAAAGCAGATTGAGTGAGAGGAACCCAAAACATCTTCAATTTCCTTGTAGACCTTTCCTGAGCGACACGGGAGAAAGTAAAGTTTTATCCTGAATACTGGTTTTATCCAGAAAAATGAGACGGGGTCAAACTAGACAATACATTGAGCTTTTTTTTTTTTAAGAATAGAATCTCCCCCCAGGTGGTGAAATTACCCAAGATGGTGTAATGAGAAAATCTGGGTTCGTATCCTGGCTCAGCTATGGAAACTCACTGGGGGTGCGCATGGAACGGGCAAAACCTCTCTTTAAATGTCTCACTTACCTTAAAAGCCCTGTTCATCATCATCATCATCATCATGTGTGATCAAGTCAACCCTTTCCAGGGTTTTCCAGGTAGAGAAAACTCAGAAGTGGTTTCTCATTCCCTTCCTCTAGGGGGAGCCCCGGGACTGTGCAGCTTGCCCAAGGCTCTGCAGGCTGGCTCTTCTCCCAGGAGGTCCAGTGGGGAATCGAACTCCCAACCTGCAGCTCTACAGGCAGATATGTAAACCACTGAGCTATCTATCCCGCCAGCACAGGGTTAGGGTTGTTACAAGTTAGTTCCACCTTGACAGCACATAATACACAGACAAGTGATGAGATGCTGGTTTGTCATAGTGCAGTATGTGATGGTCCTCAATTATGTAACTAGCACTTCATAGAAATCATAGAAAAGTGACGTTGGAAGGGGCCTACAAGGCCATCAAGTCCAACCCCCTGCCCAAGGCAGGAATACAATCAAAGTGTATCTGCCAGGTGATTACCTAAGTTTCTCTTGAATGCCTCCAGTGTTGGAGCACTCACCAACTCCAGAGGTCATTGGTTCCATTGTCGTACTGCTCTAACAGTTAGAAAGTTTTTCCTGATATTCAACCGAAATCTGGCTTCCTTTAACTTGAGCCCATTTGGTGTGCTTTGTTTCAGCCCTGGGATACTGTTGGTCATTGGAAGGTAAATATGGGTTGAATTAGCAAATCTGCTTGGTAAGGCTTTTGCATCTGAACAAAAATCTGATTTCTCTGTCGCCTTGAATGCCGGAATTCAAGGGGAAATGCGAGACTTTACTGTAATGTGAAGAAGGCTCAAAGTTAAATCACAACAATACACCACAGATATGTTTCTATTGGGTGACAGAGGCTCATCATCCTGAATGGGTTAACTGCCCTAATTTTGGCCATGATGTTTGTGTTAACACCAACAATTCTGTTAAGGGCCAGCATCAGTAACTGTCTCTGTCAATGCATTTTGCATCTACGTTTGTGCTGTCATCGTGATCAACGTCCAACTACAGGGCTGTGAAACGTTTATGTACCAGGACGTCTAAGAGGCTAACGCCATAAAAATCAGTCTGTTAACCTATAATAAGCCTGCTAGTCTAACAGGAACCTTCCTTTCAGTTCTTCTCATCTTTCAAAAACATGCACTGTAAATATATGTATTTTACTTTTGGAATTCCTATGAATTCAATGACACTTTTCCGGTAGATGATGGGAGGGGGTTTGTGGTAGTTGCTTTTCAGTTAGGGATAAATTGCTAACCATCCCTTCAGTGTGGAATCTTGGAGGGGGCTACAAACCAAACTGAAAAACTCGAATCCCTCCCTGTAGGTATCTCTCCTGCTTTTACCACACGTGTCTCTCTCACCTTGGATATCTGGATAAGCCAACATGACCACCAGTGCCCACTGCAGAGATGTTGCAGTGGTTTCTGTTCCTGCGATAAACAGGTCACAAATACATTCAGCCAGATTATCTTCGTCGTACGTAGAGGTGGGGTCATCCTTACT